TAGCTGCGTCTCAAATCGCATACTTATGCACTATTCTACATTTTGTAGTATAAATAGTGTAAGTAGCGTGTTCCCACTGAAAACTCTAAAAATAATAAGTGCACTTTAATTACCCGGATGATGCACTCATTCAGCCGGTAAAATGAAGTGTGTATTGATGGACACTTCACACACTCAACGACCGCATGTTTGCTCATGTAGCGGAAGGGGCGGCGCTATCGGCGCACATGTTGGATAACTTTATTTATTTTGGATGGTGAAAGCAAAATTCTCCTACGAGAGTGATAATAGCGCCTCCCGATGGTGAATGGGGTTATACTCATGGCAGGTATTATTTGATAATTCGGTCGTTTATTTCACTGATTTGGCATCTGTCAAACGTCATTAGGGAAACAGTTTGAATTTCCTCTTAGTGAAAAAAACATTAGTGCTCCATGTGGGACGACACTACATACATATACTATACCGTTGAGTGTGTAAGTGCATAAGTACATAGTGCATGAGTGCATAGTGTATAGTGTGGCATTTGGGACTCAGCTTATCTTATCATCTTGTGAATATCTAAAGACTCTTTGGTCTTTTGAATCTATTACTCGTTCTCAGGTTACGTGTTTTGTCTGAGTGCAAAGATAAGGCAACATATAAAAGTTATGTAACCATCAAAATTGATATCCAGCAAAAGATTACAATTTAAATTACTGAAAGTGAAAAGTGTTCAAATTTGAAGGCTGATGTAGATCTGATCTTTAATTTCACACAAGTCATGAGCCATGTTGAAAATGTTTGTATGTAGTCGTATAGATTGTTATAATAGCCTGATACAAAAAACGAATTATTTCCCAGAGATGGGTTGCGGCTGGAAGGGCATCCGCTGCATAAAAATGTGCTGGATAAGTGGGTGGTTTAGTCCGCTGTGGTGACCCCAGAATAATAAAGAGACTAAGCCGACAAGAAATTGAATGAATGAATAATAAATTATTGTTGTTTTTAGAATGAACATAATAAACTTTAATATATATCTTGTACTAACACAGTAATGAGTCAACAGTTACCGTACATTCACACCGAAAGTAGCGAGAGCGTCCAAGGTCGCTCTGGCCGCCCTGGCAACAACGCGTTCTGCCTTCAACTCCGGCGGCGAGAGCTTCAAAACTCGCGACATTGATCAGTTACTGTACACTCCTGCATAAACCACGCAAAGCTAAATGTGTTATAACGTAAATGTAAAGAAGAGACCATTGTGTAATAAATACTAAACTTATAATGAGTAAACATGAGGTGGTTTTACTTTCAAAATGCGGTATAAATTTGTCCCGTTTTGGCGTTTTTAATTCTTTTGAACACATTCAGGTGCTGTTTGTCAATTTGACAAGGTGTCTAGGTTCGTTCATGCTGTCAATTTCAGAAGAAATGATCGAAAAAAAGGTTTCTAATAAACCGATGTGACAGCTGCAGGCACTGTGTGACGTGGATGCACGCGAGGGGGAGTCAGATTTGTTCGGGGAGTCAGATTCGATACATGTTCCTCCATGTCATGTCAGTGATGGGTCCATCTTGACGATCTTCTTTTGCACAAATCTTTTGTATGAATCATGGAGTGAATCATTTATTTGCGCACGTGCACATTTGTGCAAGTGGAGCTTGCGCGCTACCTTGGAGTGGTCTGTTTCGCGCAGAATGCGCACGAGTGGCCTCAAACCATATCAATATGAACGATATTGGATAATACCACATCGTGTTGGGGAATCATATCGATATATGCACAGAACTCGATATACCGCCCAGCCCTACCTCTTCCTATCTGATGGGTACAAGTGGTTGGACTTTTATTTGCCAAAAAGCCACCTCGAGCTGACTTTTGAGCTCATTGAGGTGGCCGGAATCAATATAGTCCCCATTAAAGCGTGAGTTGAAGAGGGTGTGAGGGCATTGTGCGTCAATTGAAGTGTACACATTTCATACTTCGAATCCAGTTTGTTCAGAATTTTCATTTTAAGTTCTGTGGTCATATTTAGATTACTCTAGTCTTAACCACAACCACAAGTAATAATGTACACATTAAGTATTAATCGACACAGTGGCAAAAGTTGAACTGTTTGGAAAATTGACCATGTCATGCCTATGTAGGAACAGCTGATGGTCGCCAAAGCAGCAAAAAATGGCAGAGGATCGCAAGCTCAGAATTGGCATGGGGCCGTATAAGATTCTGATGGTATTTTAAGCTTGAATAAAAATATCACGGTTTCACGGTATAACGGTATTATGATTATTGCTCTAAAATATGTTCTTTTTAAATGTCCGGGTAAAAAACTAAAACTTTTTTTCTCTTTTGAACACAATATATTTTATTTCGAGAAACATTTATAATATTTTGGAGCAGTTACCGTGTCATGCTAATGAATTATTGAATTTTGCTGTCTTCATTTGATTCAAAATCTGATTGTTTTACTATTTAAAATTACATGTCACGTGACCTCGCTAAGTAAGGCTGATATCTACTTCTGTGACCAATTTGGAGCCACATCTAATCTCTGGTCAAGTAGGACTATGAACTCATTTTTGAGCCTTGCTTTGCACTACATTGACAATGATTGAAAG